TGTAGAAGAAACATCATACCCCAAATCAGTCAGCCTTCTGTGTCCTGTAAATCATGGAAGGGAAGGCAGCAGAGGGTATTGGTGGAGAAGCCTGTCCTGAGACATGAGGTTTACAAGACCGAGGCAGGATGAGCCTTGGGAGGCTGAGCTCATGCACTGTCGGTGCCCAGCCCAAATGGCTCAGGTCAACACTTAGGACCCGGCACAATCAGGAAGGGCAGGGTCCAAATGCACATGGGTCACTTCCCGTGTGATTCTCTTTCAAAGATGCTTTCTGACCCAATTCTCCATGCCACATGTTGTGTCCTCCCTGTCCCTACCTGCCCCTTGATTATAAGGTCTTCCCATGTGGAAGATATGGGGTGGAAGCAGGTGACATAGCAGACTTTCCAGTACATCTTCTGTCAACTCATGGGCAAATTATTCCAGAACCTGAGGGTTTCATTCTTTTTAGGGAGCTGAAATGGCTCTGCTTTGTGCTAAGAGAGTCTTCTGCAGGAGCCTGTGATACTCAGATTCTGGAGTCTGGCATGAGCTGTAGTCACCTCTGTAAGAGGAAGCCCCAGTGCTGGCAACTAAGACCCCTGTGTAGACCAGGAGCTGCCTGCTCTTCTCCAGCCTGTCCAGGATGAGGAGATAGACTCTGCTGCAAAGCCTAAATGCAACCTCTGTGAGAGAATTGTGATAAATAATCCCACATTTGACTTCCTTTGCTTGACTCTGGTATATTTCAGCCTATTCTCCAATGCATTCACTATTATTAATAAAGAAAGCTGTGAAGAGAAAATTTGCAAGGTTGGATCAGCTCTCTAAGGGAAATTGCTGTTCTGGGAGACCTGTCATGTCCATGCGGGGGTGAGCTGCATGTTGCCAAAGCAACAGGAAGCCCTGCACATACTGGGATATGTAAATGCACTGGGATAGGTAAAACCTCACAGGGGTGCAAGTGAAGAAATCACTGAGGGCTGTGAGTGCAAGAATGGCTTCACATTCTTTCTCTAAGCCAGGACCCTCTGCTCTCCTATGTGGTCCTAACAACCTTTCTACCAGCTTGGCTAAACCCTGTTTTCCCTGGGATGATGTGATGCTGTGTGGTTAGCTATGCTCACACAGGGTGGGACCCTGATCTCTGAGCTCCACAGTGAGTTTCTAAACAACAAACTCACTGAGCGATGTTCTGTATCTGACACCACAGCACAAAGAGGACCAAATGCTAGGTGGGACAGGAGCTCCCTGAGAAAATAACTCCCTGCATTTGCCAACCCATGCAGAAGCTGAAGGTGCTGCCTTAAGCTTCTGCAGTCTTGGGCTCTTATCCCTCCCCTTCCTCTTGTCAGGACCCTGCAGCCAAAGACACACGGGAGATGACAAAGGTGTGAGACCTCAGATCCCGCACAACAGTGTTCACCCACTGCCCTGTGGACCCAGCACTGTAAGCCAAGCCCAGCATCACCCACAACTCAGCACCAGCCAAGCCCATGTAGAGGTTGGGGCACCTCAGGCTCTAAGCACACAGAGCACCATGGGCAAGGGCCTGGGACTCTCCTGGACAGGTTTCTCCCACAGGGATGCTGCTCCTTCTCAAGGTGGCACCAGCACAATCTGTACAGTGAGACTGTGTTTACCATTAATGACACCAGTCTCCTGTGACTCCATTAGTGATGTCAGGTGGGTGGAGATGTGAGCCACACTTAAGTTCTCACTGCAGGTGGGCACACATTCTGAAACTCTCCTGTGATGATCCCTTAGTGCTCGGTGCACGTGGCCAGCTCACTCTTTCTGGAAATTATCCAATAAAATTTCATAATGATGTGTATCTGTACGTCAGCTACCAAATAGGGCAGCACCTGTGGATATCACTGACATTAAATTACAAAAATGATTAAAGCTAAAATTAAGCCCTTCACCAAGATCCACTGGAACTCAGGAGCTCACGGGGCACAGGGGAGTGGAGACAGTGAGTTCATTCCTGTCCCTTTGCGGCAACTTCCCTTCTGCTCTAGGGGATGGTGGAGATTTAGAATCAACTGGTTCATTTAGTCACAGAGCTAGAATTCACCTGAGAGACATACAGGCCATAATATTTGAAGTCAATGGCAAATGCCTTTGTCTCCTGGCATCAGGTATAAAGCAGAATCCCTGATGCAGTGACTCACGTCTCCTGCCTTCCTGGAAATTGCTGGGATAAAGACTTTGCCCCAGCACTGAGTCTGTGACTGTGTTCTGACCCTTGCTCCTGCAGACAGGGAGACATGGCCGCTCTCTGCACTCTGTGCTGTGGAAGCAGGATTCTGCTGACCACTCAAAGCTCACTTTATCCCTCTTCTTCCCTGAAATCTGTGTCGCTGCAGAACAAGCTTTGGCCTGCTACTCTGAACTAGAGGCTCCCTAGCTGTTGGAATTAGCTCATAGTTTCCTTCCCATAGTATTCCCCACATTTCTGGGGCACTCAGTGTGGACACATAGTTTTCCTTCATCTCTCAGCACCAGTGAGGAGGGTCTGTAGACCCCATGGTGTTTGTGAAACTTGTGCACAATTCAATGTTCAGTACCTTAACACCCTGCCTCTCCTGCTGGGAACATCAGCGTTCTGAGGTCCAGGTGATTCCCATTCACCTCTCAGAACCAGGTGTCCTCTGACAATCCTGTCCACACAAGATTTCAGCAACACATGCTGGGGAATTGCACTGATGTCCACCTCAGACAGAGGAAGATTCTATGGACCTCAGGACCCTCTAACATGACCCAGTCACTCTCCTGTCCCAGGGGCAGTAGGATGACAGCTCTTCCTCGGCTGTCTGAGGTTTGTGTCTGAGGGGCACACACTGGTCAGTGGACAGAGAGGAGTCCACTCACACTGTGATCATGCTGTGTGCAGGACAGTCACCCACACTGCAGGACACACACAGCCCGCACTGTGGATGACGGGGTGAGGATAGAAGGACAGACGTCCATACCCTTTCTCTGCCTGACACAACATGGATCTGGGGCTGGTGCAGCTCACCCGGTGCTAAGAGGAAGCTGTGCCAGCAACAAATATTCTCAGCTTTGCAGCACAGCACAATCAGCCTCTCAGAGTTACAGACTCTAGGTTTTCTTTATCAAGAGTTATGGAGAATAGATTACAAATCAGGCCTTACAAATGTTTTTATATCTTTGTGCTCAACACTTCCATTGTAAACTTGAGTGTGGCTGCAAACCATTATATATAGGGGAAATGTGTTAACCAGTTTTCCAGTGGTAGAAGTTTTGTGACTGTTACCTTCCTCCCTAATAACAATGATGTGGTGACCTGAAACACAATGGTCAAAGCTATTTGGGGGAAAGATTCTCTTCACAGTCTGTTTCAGGGTTCTCTGTTGGTTCTTTTTCCTGAGTTTCCTAATACACTCTTCTCATACTTTATGAATTTTTATTACTATTTCTGCAGTACTTTTAATTCTTGGGAGGTATGAGATGTTTAAATTTCAATTTGGAAAAGACAAGAGGTCCCAAAACTATTAAGAGCTGCCTTTGACCCATTTCCTGAGACAGTGCTTGTTTCCATCTAAACCACTGAGCATCATATTCACCATTTCCACTTCTGTCTAGGTTCCAGTACTCTGAGCTCTTTCCAAACTTTTGTTAAACTCCCCAACACCCAGTACTCTAAGCTGTATCCTGCCTGATACTCCACTCTCCTCCAGATTCCTCTCCTAGACCAACCCCACAGCCATTCACAGTGGTGCCCTTAGCTCCTGTGACTCCAGATGATTCTGATCCATCCATGGGAGATGCTGCTCCCATTGGAGGATTGCCTCCTGCTTTCCTGTGCTCTGATCACAGTGCTGTGGGCACAGGTCACCTCTACCAGGGGGCTCTGGCCGTGTTGGACTATGCAGGTATTCAGACTATGGGCCCTTGTGCCCCTGCATTTCCCGAATGAGAACACTGAGTTTTCTCTCCCAGAGCAGTCACCATGCTCACCCAGATGCACATGAGGTCCCACAGCCAGACACTACTGCCAGCTCTAGTCCCTGTTCCTGTGCACAAAGGTTCTGCACACACCAAGGACAGTGACCCTGCCTGGGGAGGCTCAGAGGGAGCCTCACCGCTGGGTGCTCTTTCAGTGCTGTCACCCCTCACAGTGCTTTCTTCACACTGAACAAGGACAGGCTCCCTGTTCCCCAGGCCCTGTGACATGGAGAAAGTTGTTCGCCAAGCCATAGTGAAGCCCTACAGCCTTCTCCTTTCCCCTGGATCCAACACAGGCCACCAGGCAGGCAGAGCCTCTGTAGCACCACAGAAACTTCAGCCCTGGAAGGAGCACATCAGGGAGCACCAGGAGCAGCCACTGTTGCTGGGTGTGCACAGCACCCACTGTCACTTTCCTCACACACAGGTGAACATCCCAGTGGTAAAGCAAACAAAGAAAACAAGGACCTGCATGCAGTGCTCAGCTTGCCACCTCCTATTCACACAGGGCCACACTCTTTTCAAGGACAGACCGGGTCTTGGGGATGGTGAAGCCCAGCTGAGCTCTCAGCCTACAGCACAGGTGTGGGGACAGCTGCTGTGAGTCACTCTGCAGCGTGGGACAGGAGTCGTCCTTCAGGTAACCAGAAGGAAAACCATAAATATAGGAAACCTGAATTCAGCACAGCAAGCAGCACACATTTATTTCAGCTGTTGGGTCACCCATTGTGTGGTTACCTTAGCGGAATCCTGGAGACAGCTACTATAGAGAGAGGAAAACCTGATGAGGAGAGAGGTTCCATCCACCTCCTGTTCCTGCAGGATGAGTGATCAGACACTGGGTTCGCACTAAAGATCTCCCTCTCAGCATGCAGGCCATGTACTCCGCTAGACATTGAGTTATTTCTAGAATCCAGGAAAACTCTCCTAAGCAAAAACTCATTTAAAAATGGCCCAGGAGTGACAGTACAGAGGAGGCTCTCAGAAAGTTAGGGTCCTAGGTTGGAGTCCGGTTTCTGTGGTCATGAAGGATGGAAACCAGTCTTTCTTTGAATGAATGGAATCTTGCCGTGTGGGAAGTCCTGGAACCAGGAGATCACAGAGGCAGAGATTTCTCCATGGAACTATGGATGCTGAGCCTGTAGAAGGCAGAGCCTGGTCCAGGGAGGATTTGTTGGTCTCCTTTCATTGAGTCCACAGAGGTGGGGACAAGGGGCTGCAACAGCTCTGACTTTCCACTTCCGTTCCTCTGTCTGTCCTGCAGCGCTGAGGTCTCCTCTGTCAGAGCTAGAGCCATCACAGGAGGTGACACAATGCCTACCGTGCCTGTTCTGCTCTGCCTAGGTGAGAATGGGGAGATGGAGGAGACCAGGCTGGGCTAGAGAGCGGGATCAGGTGAGGCATCAGACAGAACCTCTGATAAGACAGGAAACTCTCTTCCAGGGCTGAGTCTGCACATGTCGCTGCAAGGACTCACAGGTGAGTCCTCCCCAGAACTCTGTGTCCTGCCTCAGCCTCAGCTCCTGGCCCTCAGTTAGTAGAACACAGCCTTGGCCTGAGCATGAGGATGGGATGGATGCAGGAGGTGAGAATTTCCTCAACCCAGCCTCTCATTTCCTTGCAGGGACCCTCCCCAAGCCTACACTGTGGGCCAAGCCAGGCTCTGTGTTGCCCTGGGGGAGCTCTGTGAGCATCTGGTGTCAGGGGAATGTGGGAGCCCAGAAGTACAATCTGTACAGAAAAGGAAAACCCAGGATCTCGGAGATGTCACTCTTACTCAACAACAAGGCCAAGTTCTCCATCCCATCCATGAGTGATGGCCATGCGGGGCGATATCACTGCTACTATCAGAGCACTGCTGGCTTGTCAGAGCACAGTGATGCCTTGGAGATGGTGGTGACAGGTGAGAGGACACTAAGGGTCCTAGCCCTAGGCTCTGCCCTCAGGAAGGGCTCTACTCTCAGGGATGTCCCCATCTCATAGCCCAACCCCATTTCACATGCTGCCTCTTTCTCTCCTAGGAATCTACAGCAAACCCAGCCTCTCAGCACTGCCCAGCCATTCAGTGACATCAGGAGACAATGTAGCCCTCCAGTGTATCACAAGACAACCATTTGGTGGGTTCATTCTGACTAAGGAAGGAGGAGACAAGCTCTCCTGGACCCTGGACTCACGGCGACTTACCAACGGACAGTTCCAGGCCCTGTTCCCTGTGGGTCCTTTGATTTCTGGGCACAGATGGACATTTAGATGCTATGGCTATTACAAGAGAAATCCCCACGTGTGGTCCATACCCAGTGACCCCCTGGAGCTCATGGTCTCAGGTGAGAAGACCCTGTCCCTGTCCTCAAAGTGTCTCTAATCCCTTTACCTTTAAAGAAATTTTTTCTCAGTTGGAGTGAGAATGACCTAGGATTCCAGCCAGGGGAGGTTCCTTTCTCTAAGCCAGCTGGGCTTCTCTAATGCATGCCCACCCAACTGGCTTAATTTTAATGTATAAAGTGCCATATGGGCAGGAGATGGTGTTGGACAAACCTCAGGTGTTATTTTGGACAGCGGTCAGTGACAGGGTGCCCAGAGGGATCCCGTGATGACCCCTTTTCTTATCTTCATTGCCAGAGGCATCTAGTCCCAGCCCCCCAACCACAGAGCCCATCACAACATCAGGCTCATCCACAAGATGCTCTGGGGACCCCCGCACCCCACCCTCAACTCCCAGCTCCACAACAGGTGAGTCTTGATCTCTGCCCCGAGTGTCCTGTGTCCAGGCTGCCTGGAGACTCTCAGCCCATCTCAGCCCTCATCACAGTCTCAGGTCCACTTGTGTACAGAAACCTGGGCTTCAAGTGGAGGTGTGGACAGCACCTGGGCAGGAGAGTATCATCTACTGTCCTTGATTTTCTCATCTGTAGACTGCCTGGGTGGGGGCAGCAGTGTATCACAGGATTGTGAGGGTTTGAGGTGATAAATGCAAACCCCACACAGGGCAGGGTCATCAGTAAGCACATAACTTCCTGATCTAGACATCACTCATGGCCATAGTCAAGGAAGGAACCTGAAAGTTCTGGCCTGGATCTCAGTGGTTTTCCTCCTCCTGCTCGCACTCCTTGTGCTCTTGCGACTCCAGCATCAGGGACACTTCAGGAAGGCAGGTGAGGAGGGAGAGGATGGCCTGGGCTGCACCCAGGGAGGGATCAGCAGCTGGGCTCAAGACCCCAAAAGCTGAAAGAATCTGGAGATTCCATGCCAGGTGGGTTCAAGACCCCAAAAGCTGAAAGAATCTGGAGAATACATGGCAGGTGAGCAAGGGCAACACACAGGTGTCACAGGGTTGCATCTTCTTGTCACCAGGACCCAGCTCTGCTGCCACCTCCCCAGAAGACTCCTGCAGCTTTGAGGTAAATTGTCCTCTCCTCCACTCTGCTATTTTCTCCATACTTCCTTACCACATGGTTTCGTTGCTTGAGTCTACACCCCCTGCCTTCAAGCCCTGAGCTCCCTGAGGGCAGACTCTCTTATGTGTCTCACCCCTGCACCTCACCAAGCTCCCTGGAGGCTGCTGCCTAGAGAGTGAGGAACAGTGTCCTGCAGCCCTGCCTCTCTTCCCTGCAGGCTCCGTCACCAGCCCCACAGGGAGTGCTGCCATCTCCAGGGATCAGTCTGTGAGGCTGGGAGTGTGGCTGATGCCCACCAGCACCAAGTCTGTGTCCTCAGAGCAGCCCAGAGCAGGAGACAGACAGACAGTGGTGACGGAGCACTGACCAGGCACAAAAACCCAGGCAATGCACAGCACTGTGAGCCACACATGGCAAGGAAGGGCAAGTGTCTGTGGGAAGACCAGGAAGGGCTCCAGGAAATGGTGCAGAGAGGACTCTCTGAGCACATGTGTCTCAGCAGAGACCTGAACACAGGACACTACTGTGACTGTCCCAGGGATGAGCATTCTTGCTAGGGAGCAGGAAGTGTGAGTCCAGGTGGTGGCATGGAACCTTGCTCAGGAGCAGGCTGAGGTCCAGGGTCACTCGAGGTGATGGATGGAGGATAGAAGTGTCAGTGCCCAGATGCAGAGCTTGGCAGGGCTCAGTCGCAAGTGTCCCTGGGCTCTGATGGAGCTCGTGAAGCCACTGGGAGTTTGTTCCGGGAGGTTCAAGCTGACTGCTGTCACAGTGCTCACTCTGTGGTACCTGTGGCACTAAGTGATGGTACAGATCAGAGTCAGGGAGCAGCCTTTGTCACTCTCTGCCTGCTGCAGAGCCCTGAGCATGAAGACCTCCAGGAAGTGACCTACACTCGTGTGCAGCCCTCCAGAAGGAGATGCGGCAAGGTCTCCCCTGCTGACCCCACATTAAGGCCATTCCAGGACCTGAGCATGAGACCCACAGGAGAGGACAGGCTCAGGAACAGGCAGGTGAGTCTCATCACCTGTTGGTCCCCAATCTTTCACACATTGCACCCACATTCTCATCCCTACACTCTCTCCCTCCAGGAATCTGACACTGAAAGTCCCCAGAGAGTGACCTACACCCAGCTGAACAGCTTCAAGAAGGGACGGGAGCCAACCACAACCCCTTCCTCCCAGGAAGAGGAGCACCCAGCTGCATCCTGTGTGTACACTTGCCTGGCCACTCATCAGTACGGGAGAGATTTCAGATCCCAGAGTGCAAGTACTGAGACTTGAGTATAAGTCGGAGCAGATCAACCCCATGGACATTTAGATTGTGAACTGCAGCTCCCGGGACCCATGGCATGGACAGCCCAGGATCCCTGATATTTTAAAATAACTTGATTCTGCAGTGAGTCATAGCTAATGTAGCATATCTGGGATATATAACAACCGTATTTTCTAAATAATGATTGTGTAAAATAAGAAACTCCAAACCTAGTGCAAAATGTATGGTAATGAAAAATTGTACATGAAACTATTGAAATGCAAAATTTGAAGTAATTTAATGTAACTCAATGTCTTAAATAGAAACTCAGAAACAGAAAAATGTCTGAAGATAAATCAACAATGCAAGGTGCACACCACAAGAAAGAGCAAATGAGATTTTGAAAGTGATAGAAAGAAGGAAATAATAATCATAATACGCAGAGTAATTTGATTCTGCACCTCAGGCTCGAGCTAACAAAACTCAGATGTGTGGGACTGTGAGATTTGCCTTTTCCACATGTTGGTGGTTTGAAAGGGAAGAAGCATTGTCTGAAAAACCACTGAAAAATTGGTGCCCACCATGAGTAAATGAGAACTTGGCACCTAGAGAGGGCACATCCCCTTTCAGGCTGCTCACAGGACAGCTCTGTGAAAGACCGAACTAGGCCTGGGGCAGCCCCACCCTGTGTTTCTGTCCCTGCTGCCTTGAACCATGGTCTCACTCATCTGCACAGCCCAGGAAAGTGCATACAGACACCATGACCCTCACCTTCACAGCCCTCTCTGCCTGGGTGAAATGAGAGGAGAGAGGACACCCAGTCTAGGAAGGATCCCACCCTACAGCCAGGCCCTGGTGCATCAGCAGACCAGGTGCTTAGGAGGCTCCAGGGATCAGAGGACCTGCTCAGTCTCCAGGGCAAAGTTCTCACAGGGAACTCTCTTCCAGGGCTGAGTCTGGGCCCCAGGACCCCAGGGCAGGCAGTTGAGTATATCCTCAGCTGTCCAGGGTCCTTTCTCCTCCTGGGGACAAGGGGTCATCCCTGGATAGTGGAGATGAGCACAGCAGGTGTGGGCTGGCACTGGAAGGTCTGGAGGGTCCTGGGGCTGAGATCTGGGATCTGACGGGAAGAGGAAGGTCCTGGGACCTAGCTATGTTTCCCTTCAGGGACTCTGTCCAAACTCAGGCTCTGGGTTGATCTGTGATACCATGGGGGAAACCTGTGACATTTGGTGTGAGAGGACCCTGGAGACTGCCTCTCCTTAGGCATGTTTTAAAACTATTTCACAAAGCTTCTATATATTCATGCATTATTTTAGAATTTTTCCCTAATTTTAATAATTTCTAACTAAAATTTGGATTGATTGTTTGAATTTTGTAGATAATTATAAGGCATATATAGGGAAGATATTGAGTTGTATATATTGCTTTCCTGTACCCTGGCCTCACAGTGAGGTCCCAGTGCCACATTCCAGGTCCTGTTCCATGTGGATCCCATGCTTCCCAGCCAAAGGTGGACTTTTAAATTCTATAGCTATCACAGGAGACATCCTCAGACATAGTCTGTACCCAGTAACCCTCTGGGTCTCCTGGACTCAGGTGAGGAAGTCTCGGTCCTGTCTAAAAGAATTCTAGGACACCAAGGAGCTAATTGCAGACATGTTCCTCAGGACAGCTCCAGGTAAGAATGACGAATTTTAGAATTCTCTGATTCTGTGAGACATGTTGGAATATTGATCAGAAATGCATTAAATCTGTACATCAATTTTGGATGTCTGGCCATTTTCACTATATATGTTCTTCCTACCCAAGAGCAAGGATGTCATTCCACTTCCTGATATCCTCTTCAATCTCTTCCTTCAGAGTACTATTCAGAATAATTTTCAATGTAGAGATCTTTTACATTCTGCAGTAGACTGATTCCTAGGTATTTCAGTTTTTTAAATGCTATTATTAAAGGTGTTGTTTCCCTAACTTGTCTCTCAGTGAGTTCTTTATTCATGTACCGGAAGGCTATTCATTTCTCAGTATTTATTTTTGTATCCAGCTACACTACTGAATTTTGCTTATTAAATCTGGGAGACTTTTAGTGGAGTTTTTGAGTGCTGTATCATGTTATCAGCAAATGATAATTTAACTCCTTCCTTTTCTATCATTATTCCTTTCATTTCTTTCTCTTGTCTAATTGCTCTGGCTAAAGTTTCCAGGATTATACTGAGTAGAAACAGAGACAGTAAGCATCCTTGTCTTGGTCCTGATTTTAGAGTGAGAGCGTTCACTTTTTGTCCATTTAGTATGATGTTGGCTCATGGTTTGTAATAGATGGCTTTTGTCAGATTGAGATAAAGACCATGTATGCCAATTTTCCGTAGGGTTTTTATCATGAATGTGGTTGAGCTTTGTCAAAAGTTTTTCCTTCATCTATTGTGATGATTACATGTTGTTTGCATTAAAATGATGTATTTCATTTATTGATTTACATATGTGGAACCTACATCCTGGGATGACTCCAAATGGGTATACAGTTTAAACGTAAATAACAATTCTCCAATTTTCAGAGAATCAGGATGTTACATTCCTTAATTGTGATAAATAACTTCTTAGTATCAATTCTTCTTATCCTAACAATTAAAACTGTTTCTTATTAATAAAATTTAGGAGTATTTTTAAACCTAATTCAGGGAGACTGAGAAAATGGTGGCTTGCTAGGGGATTGGGCAGAGAGTCTCTCCACAGAAATCATATTAGAAGCTAGAATATGACAACATGGAGAGAGCCAGATGAATGGCCCTCTTATTAACCAAGACAGCACAGGTGGAGGATTTAAAGTTGTGCTGAGACTGTGAAGGCTGATAGTGGGAGGCTGCAAATCCCGCACCTTTAAATCAGCGAACTGACCCGGGGACCCAACAGGAAAAGCTGTGTTGGCTTTTGGTGACTGCTGGAAACTGAGACCTGGGACCCCGAGAAGCAGCCAGGACTGCCCCGCTGCACCAGAGGAGATTGCAAAAGGCTCTGAAGCTCCAAAGCCAAACGCTGTGCAGTTTTCTGACCATTCCACGCTGTGCCGAGCATGCAGGGAGGGCGAGCGGCGTGGTGTGCAGTAGACTCAAGAGGAGGACCTGCACCAAACCCTGGTGAGTACTGGGGACCCTGCGGATTCTGGGGTTGGCCAGAGGACATCTTGGAACTGGGCAGTGCCCGCCACCATGGGGACATCAATAACACAGAGAGTCTGGTGGCAGACATCTTAGAGTTGGGCAGAACCTACAGCTCGGTGACATTACCGAGACCCCTTGTAGGGAGATCTGGTGGAAGACATCTTGAAATTGGGCAGAGCCTGACGCCGTGCTGGCTTCAGTGTCATACAGAGAACTAGTGGTAGACATCTTGGATTTGGGCAGGCCTGCTCTCCTGGTACTCCTGTCACAGAGAGGTCTGGAAGAGAACAGCTGGGATTTGGGCTGAAACCTGTGCCATAGTGACATTAGTCAGCTGCTTCTGGTACAGGGAGAACTGGCATGAGCTACTGGGGCTAAACCAAGCCTCTGCTTGGGGCCCAATAAGCAGATACAAAATAGTCACAACTCAGTGACATCCAGAAAGTACAGCCTAATTTACGGATTGACTGGCACAGAGGCTGGAGGCTAGCCTGTACCGCCCCTGCATCCCAGCCTACCCCAGATAACAGCAAATTGGGGAGGACAGCAAAAACTCAAGCCAGCACGCTTCTGAAAGGCCCTAAGCAATACGGAGAGAGCCAGAGACCCCCAGGACACTCCAGTCTGAAAGAAACCAGAAACATGACAAGAGATAAAAAATTTTTAAAAATCTCCAGCTGCCCAACATGAGAAAATAAGCCCAGGAGAAGTAAACACTGAAGAGAACAAGCACAGTAACCATCCAATACTCGACACAGCATCAGCCAAAATTAAAAAATACCTTCATGACCTCATAGATGAATTTAAAGCTGTACTCCTGATCCAGGGGAGGCAAGATATAAAGATACTAATTAAAGAAATGACAAGCCCCACCCAAGAGAACACAGATGGAAGAACTGAGGAAATCAGAAAAGAAAGAGAAACTTCTGAAGAATTTAAACATAACTTAGAATACATGAAACAGATCCAAAGAGATTACCTGGAAACTAAAAACTCCATTGAACACTGGCAAAATGCCTTGACAGAAACTAAAGACAGCCTTCTGAAACTTGAAGAGAGATTTATGGCATATGATCGTGAAAGAAAAAGCCTCTTAAAAATAACAAGGAACCAGAAAGAAACAATTCAAAAACAAAAAGATACATAACTTAAGAATAAAGCATGTGAGTGAGGAAGCAGGAGCAACCAAAAATGAAATACAAAGAATATTCACAGATATATTAAAGCAAAATTTCCCATGTATAGCAAAAAGAAATGATATCCAGATAAAAGATGCATACAGAACACCAGCTACCTACAACCAAAACAGACCTACGCCTAGACATATAATAATCAAGATTCCAGAAATCCACCAAAAGAACAAAATATTAAAAGCAGCCAGAGAAAAGATGCAGATTACCTACAATGGGAAAATTGTCAAAATAACAGCAGACTTATCAACACAAACTCTTAAGTGAAGAAAGGAGTGGGGAGAAATATTCCAAGTCCTGAAAGAAAATAATATGCAACCAAAGCTCATATACCCTTCAAAACTCTCTCTCAAAATTAATGGAGAAATAAGATGCTTCCAAGACAAGGAGGAACTGTGGGAGTTCGTGGCCACCAATCCAACCCTACAGAGAGTGCTGAAGGACATTCCAGAGAAAGAGAGGAAGGGATACCAGGATTCCAGCAACAGTGGCAGAGAGGCCTCAATGAACAGGGCAGACAGCGGAATGAGAGAATAAGGTGGACAAATTATAGCAGAAAAGTGGAGTAGCAGACATGAGGCAGAGACGGTAAGCTATAGTCTTTAGTATAGACAGCTCTGAAACACTATTTAAAAAGGCAGAGGTCATTGTTAATGGTGTATAAGGATTTAAAAGACACAGTAGTCTTATTGCCATATTTAGTTTGAATTTAATTTGTTCTGGTCTGTCCACTCATGTCAGATTTGAGGGCACAGACATCTTGACTCAAAAATAACAGGTTATACCATGGTAACTATCCTTACTTTCCTATTACCTTAAACTGAAATCCTGTATTACTTACATTCCTGTATTACATTCCTGTATTACAATCCTGTATTACTATGACTGATTTTAATTGAATCTGAATCATAAGACTATGGGTTGGCCTTGGCTGATTTTATTTGAATTTGGTATGCTTGTTAGTATCAACCCTAAAAGTAGAGGCAACTACTCTGAAGATGACAAGATGTAAAGGATATCCATACTGGTATTAACTATTAACAGCCCTTAAATCCTACAATGCTTCCAAAGTTTTTATAAAAATAGGTAATACTATGTTTAACTATAATAAGCCAGTGTTGTGGGCAAATCTATTGAAAATAACAAGAGGAAACATAGTAACTACGGAAGATCATCTATATTGTGGTCTTATATGTCTTATCCATTGCATGATTTTCTAGGAAATTGTTTTGCTGTCTTGCTACGACTTGGTTTTCCCTATAATACAGAGAGGATAGATATATATGTAGAAATTCACACATGGGTTTTTTTTTAATTATATAACACAGGATGTAATGAACACTCTGAGGAAGAGATGCTAAGAAACCCGAGGCTAATTTTGTAGCATTAAGATATAAATTCTAGCAATACTATTGTTCGCTTAGAATGACATTGGACTGGTTTCTTGAGTTCAATTTCAGCATATGTAGAGATGGGGACAGCTATTACAAAGAGAATGAGAGATGCGATGGTGGCTATTATTGTCTTCCCTAATGTTAGATCTTGAAGACCTAAAAAGCCTTCATCATCCTGTAGTGATTTGATTAGTTCTATAATATGCAATAAGTATATAAAGTGGGTGAAAATGGGGACAACTATTTGTAAGAAACTGGAGACAGTTAGATAGATAGTGAAGATCTCCAGTGGACTTGCTTTGAAATCTGTATTTCTTTAAATTGTTTTTTTTACTGTTTTGATATGTTTAACCTTACCCTCTTTGAGATGTAAAACAAATGTGTAGGACTGATAACCATATTACTGAGCTTTTGTTCGATCATTGAGCAGAACTGTTTGTAGTGTCACTTTTTGAATGTCATTCTAAATACTTTAATTCTGTAACCTGAGCAGCTATTTCTAGGATGACAATATGTAACTTATCAACCAGCAATTTCTTACCATTTGTTTTTCTGTAATTTTGTATTATTTCTACCCTTTTTTTATCTCCATGTATTTTTTGTTTCCTTTTCTTTAAATAAAAAAAATAAACCTAATTCAAAAACTTCTATGCATGCATGCATGCATAATTTTAGAATTTTTCACTGACTTTAATAATTTCTAACTACAATTTGGATTAATTGCTTAAATTTTGTGCTACATGTAAAGTATTAATAGGAAAACTATTTACTTGGGTACGTTACTATTATTTTTAGTTAAGTTAGAATTCTCTGCTTCTTGATTTTCAACTGATCACTTCTGATTTAATGATAAAATTGGTATCAAGGCTGGGGATATAGCTCAGCAGCACAGCAAGTAAGTTTGATTCCCGGTACTAAAACAATTTTGTATCAAAGAAAATTAGACAAAAATTTCCCTTTAGCTGAGGATATAGCTCAACAGCACAGCATCTGCCTGCCAAGCATGAAGTCATCACTTACATTCCCAGTACCAAAAATAGAAATAAAATGAAATAAATAAAAATGTTATGTTGTGGTTTGTAAATTTCACTATGGTTTTTCCTTCTTCAATTATGTACATGTGTCGCTTTACATCTGTCTACCCTCCTATGAATGTGTACACATCCACATGCTTAGTACTGATCATTCACCATGGACGTGCACTTGTAACAGGCAGGAACACTGCATTTATGAGCCTCTGACTTCATCCCCTCCTGAAAAACACTCACATTTGTGTGTGTAGCTCTGTGTCACTATGTACTCACTACAGGTGCTCCTCACTGTGCGATGCTGAGCTAACAGAAGTCACAGGGAGGAGGAGGGACCAGGGGTCCAGGCTGGGTGGTAAAGGCCCAAGACTTCACTCTTTGTGCCCCTAATTTTTAGGGTCCTGAGGGGCAGCCCTCAACCCTGGGCCTGGTGAATCAGGGAAACTCATCTCCAGGGGAAATAGCTCACATCTTCCCATGCACCAGGGCATACAATGGCTCCGTGTCACCCCTTTGTCCCTCAGTCCTTGTTCAGCTCTGAGGTTCTATGATGCATCCTTAGGCTTGGATGTCTCCTCCTAGTCATATCTCATCTGCTATCAGCCATGGTGAGGCCTCGCCCATGTTGTGTACAGTGTGTTTGGATCTTGTGGCCACATCCCGGTTCTCTCTTGAGTTTCCACCCACCCTGGCACAGCCCGACTGTTCTTGCTGCTGCTGGCGTGTCCACTTTGGCTTTGAGCCCCTCTTCTAACAAGTCCAGTTCCTCCTCCTCCATGTCTCATTTTGAGATTTGCTGTATTCTGCAAATCACTTTTACCTGGTGCCCTTTAGTGTTTGTCAGACAGCTACAATGATGTCCCAGATGAGGGGAGCTACTGTCATCAGGCCTTCACTGATGCACTGGTGATATGAGGGGTCCATTGCTTCCCGATCTGAAAACCACCCTGGCTGAGTCTCCCATGTCCAGGCACTGCTGACCTCATAACCACTGGGGGAGTGAGATGAGTACAACAGAAGCAGAAGCTGAGGCCCAGAAAGAGTTGCTAAGGTCCGGGCAGCATGGACAGAGAATGATGAAAAGGCATGAGAAGGAAATCAGCCACCACCCAACTCAGGAGAATTCTACCCAGGAGTCAGGGGCACTGAAGATGTGAGAACGGCTCAGAATTTTTTTCACAAGGAGATGGGATTAAACCATGCGCTGGGAAAGGGAAGTACATGCAGGGGAGTTTAGCACAGGAAACCCACAGCTAAACTCGGGAAAAGAGCTGCTTTCCTTAAAGCCTCCTTCTGATCATCTCCCTGGGACACAGCTCCAGGTGAGCAGCACAACCAAGGCTCAGCAGATCTCTACTCCCGTCCACCTGCAGCAATAACCAAGGTCTTCCCTGGAGCATCTCCAGTGCAGCGCTGGGGGAGAATGGCCACTGTGGGGAGCACTGTGCTGTGCAGGTGCAGGGGCTGAGGGAAAAAGGAGACCCGTGGGAGGCTTTGAGAGGAAGGACCAGCCCTGGACACCATTCCTTGTAAGAGGCCAGCTTGGGAAGGCATGGAGTCTGTTGGCCACTGTATCCTAGCCCTTAAGGACTTGATGGCTAACCAAAAATTTCAGAAGGGAAAAATCCCATAATATGTAATGCTTGGCCCAGGACTGTGGATAATGAGGAAGGCAGCCCTCCTTCTTATAGGGCTGCTGATGTGACAATCCCTAAATGGGCAGAACCCAGCAACTAAGTAGCCACACCCCATGTCTGTGTGACGGCCAGGCAGTGACATCACAGCCATCTGCATAGCCATGACAGTGGTTGGACACACCATGACCCCCACCCTCATGGTCCTGCTCTGCCTGGGTGAGATGGGAAGAGGGGAGAGGACACCCTGATCTGGGAGAGATCCCACCCCTACCCAAGGCACCCCTCCATCAGAGACTCAGGTCTCAGGAGGCTCCAGAGCAGAGGACCTGCTCAAGCTCCAGGGCAAAGCTCTCACAGGAACTCTCTTCCAGGGCTGAGTCTGGGCCCCAGAACCTCAATGCAGGCAGGTAAGTATATACCCAGCTGTCCCTCCTCTTCCTGGGGACAAAAAGCCACCCCTAGGAGTAGGGGTGGAACACAGCAGCTCTGAATTGCTGCTGGGAGGTCTGGAGGGTCCTGGGGCTGAGAGCTGGGATGTGAGGGGAGGAGGAAGGTGCTGGGACCCAGCTGTGATTTCCCTGCAGAGGCCCTGCCCAAACCCAGGCTCTGGGCTGAGCCAGCATCGGTAATACACTGGGGGAACCTGTGATCCTCTGGTGTGAGGGGACTCTGGAGGCCCAGGAGTACCATCTGGAAAAAGAAACAATCCCAGTACCCTGGGAACAAGAGATGGCACTGGAGTCTGGAAACAAGGCCAACTTCTCCATCCCATTGATGGCCCAGCACCGTGCAGGGCAATATCACTGTTACTATCAGAGCCCTTCTGGCCAATCAGAGCCCAGTGAGCCCCTGGAGCTGGTGGTGACAGGTGAGAGGACACTCAGGGTCCCAGCCCAGGCTTGCCCTCAGGAAGGGGTCTGCTCTCAGGGGTGTCCCTCTCTCACAGCCCAGCCCTGGGGACAGTGTGGTCAGTGTGAATTCACATGCTGCCTCCTTCTCTCCTAGGAGTCTACAGCAAGCCCAGCCTCTCAGTCCTGCCCAAGCGTGTGGTGCCCTCCGGGGCAATCGTGACCCTCAAGTGTAGGTCACATGTGAAGTCTGACAGGTTTATCCTGACTCACCAAGGAGAAGACAAGCCCTCCTGGACAGAGCCCTCACAGTGAGGCCAGATGGGGAAGGTCAAGGCCCTATTCCTTGTAGGCCCTGTGACTCCCAGATATAACTGGACATTCATATGCTATGGCTACATCTTGAGTATATCCCAGGTGTGGTCAGAGCCCAGCAAGCCCCTGGAGCTGTTGGTCTCAGGTGCGCAGTCTGTGAGTCCAGCATAGCTGAGCTCAGGGTTCCTCTGTGCCTCCTCCCAGGACAGCCCTGGCCTGGGAGGGCATGAGGTCCTGTAGGGAGAAGCACCCAGAGGTGGACTCTTCCTAGGCACACTGTCACCTCCCACCCTACCTCTATGGAATGTGCTTTGTGAGCAGAAGCTGGTCTGGGGAGGCCATAGCACAGGCAGAGGAGAGGACGAGGTCCATCCTCAGGGCAGCCCTGTCCCTCACTCCCTCAAATGTTCATCCCCAGGATGAACCAGGTCCCCACCCTCAATGCCCAGCTCGACAGCAGGAGTCTCAGGCCCTGTTTCAGTTTCCTGTGTCCAGGGTGCCTAGAGATGCTCAGCCCATCTCAGTCCTGGTTTCAGTCTCGGCTCCACTGCCATCTAAGGGCAGAGAAGAGGGACAGGAACCCAGATGCCCAGAGGCTCAGAATCAGGTCTGCATGGGGTGGTTTCAAAACTGAGGGAGAGGTTGGGGTTCAGCTTGGAGAGGATCAGCAGCTGAAGTGGGGAGCAAGGAGCCCAGCCCCCCACCTCCCCAACTCTCTGGGATGCCCTGAGGATCAGCCCCTTACCCTATGGAGTTGGGGCTTCAGAGCAGAAAGTGAGAGCCCTGCTGGGAGGGGTCCAGAGCAGGGACTGAGCTGTGGCTCTGCTGCAGCCTCCTCTAGAGATGCTGACTCTCGGAGCAGCCCCTCCTGTGTGGGCCTCAGTTTCCCCAGTGCAGAGGAGAGGCCTGGCCTTGACCAAGTTCCTCTCAGTGCTGACTTTGCTGTGAGCCTTGGATAGGTGGCCTGCCAGGGCAGCCTCCAGGACCCCACACTGCTGTGGTCCTGTCTCTCTGCACAGTGACAGTGACAATGTCCAAGGGAGAGCACAGGGCCAAGGCAAGGTATCCAGGCTCCTTTTTAGATCAGAAGGCTCAGCTCTGCTGGAAAGAGCAGAGTGGAAGTCCGGCTTGCCTGGTTCCCTTGGGCTGGTTTCCCTGGGCTGGCAGTTCCTTCTCTACTCCTTTGTTTCCTCCTCAGCAATCTGCATGAGGGGGTTAATGATCCCATGTGCAGTGCTGTGAGAGTGTGAGGGGGGATGCAAAGGCCCAGCGTGGGCAGGTGCCAAACTAGGTGCTCAGCGAAGCGGCAATTTTCCTCTTTCAAGACAGCACCCCTGGCCCAGGTCTGCAAAAGTATTTGACAGTCCTGATGGGGGTCTCAGTGGCCTCCTCCTTGGTGCTCTTTGTCCTCCTCCTCCTCTTTCGATTCTGGCGTCAGAGAAGAAGCCAGAAGGCAGGTGAGCAGAGAGGGTGAGACCTGGGCCTCAGGAAGCTGTGGGTGGCATGGTCCCCGAGGAACCAGTCCTAGGGAAGAAGTCTGCATAGAATCTCCTGTGCAGAACCTCGGAGCAGAGAGTCAAGTGCAGAGCACACAGGCCCATCCCTGTGGAAGTCTCCACTGTGGTCTGAGCTTCTCCACCTCAGGCCCCATCGGCTCCCTGGTCCGGGGGTCCAAGGCTTCCTTCCTGCCCTGTGTGGCCTGTGGACTGGGTGGTTCTGATCTCCTGGATGAATCTCTATCCATCTCCCGGGGACAGAGAGAGGTGACTTTCCATGTCCTACAGGGCCTGGGGTCAGGACCCTGTGACAGAGACCTGCAGAAGAGGTCTTTCCTGCCCGAGGACCCAGACTCCCCACCTGCCACCCTCAGGGCAACCTTACACCCCCAGGGATCCCCAGCTCAAGCCCAACCACTGCCACCCAGGAAGGAAACCTCTGTGAGAGGAAGAGAGGTGTGGTGAGGGAGACACCCTGAGGTCTCAGCATCAGAGGGACAGGGGAGACTGGGCTCAGGACTGAGTCAAAGGAATCCAACTCTGTAAGCTGGGGGACATCACACAGCTCCCTGGCTACATGCTCCCAGCTGAATAGGGCTGGGCCTGGGGGCTGAGAGATCCCAGAACTCTGGCCAGGTGGTGACCCTTCTTCTGTCCCTGCAGATGCTGCTGTGCAGATCACAGAGCCTGAGGGCAGGGTGGAGCTGGACACTCCGGTGAGACCCCATCCAGGAGACAGGGACTTCCTGTCTCCCAGTTAAACCCAAGGACCTTGCTCTGTCCTTCACCACTCAGCTCTCAGGAACTCTCAGCTGAGCCCTCCCTTCTGGAAGCCCCAACCTCTGCCAGTTGTGACCCCACCCTCTGCTGGTTTCCTGTGACCTCAGGGTCCCCTCCTTCTGTCCCCTTCCTGGCCCTCAGCCTTTGTCTGGCTGTTCCCTCCCCAGTCTTAGAAGGATCCTGAGTGAATGAGCAGCCCCACTCACCCGTTCATGGGGGCTCCCTTCTGACCTGGCTCCATGCGGGCTGCAGACACAGCAGTGAGCACAGCCCCCTCCCACCCTGAGTCACCTGGAGGTGGGAGGCCAGTGTCAGGAGAGCACAGAGCTACGAAAGAAAATAAAGCAGAGAATGGGGCTGAGGACAGGAGAGCCAGTGAGACTCACAGGGAGGCCTCTGGTATGGTGAGTGCTGAACGGAAGCCTGAATGGAAAGGGCCACATGGACTTCTGATGCATCAGCATTGCAGGCAGAGCACAGTCCAGGGCAAGGTATCCAGGCTCCTCCTTTTTAGATCAGGAGGCTCAGCTCTGCTGAAAAGAGCAGGGTGGAAGTCCGGCTTCCCCTGGGCTGGTTTCCCTGGGCTGGCAGTTCCCCTCTCTCAGCCTCCGTTTCCTCCTCAGCAAATTGCATGAGGGTGTTGATGATCCTATGTGCAGCACTGTGAGAGTGTGGAGGGAGATGTAAAGGTCCTGAGGTAGGGATGGGTTCCTTCAGGAAGATGAACTCTGTGGCTGCAGCCTGGAGAGCAGGGTCTGAGGCAGGATGCAAGTGTAACAATGCAGGATGGAAGTGAACAGACTCTCCAAGCCTTGGGAAGCCTCTGAAGATCCATGAGGAAAGGATATAGGCTGGTTTAATTTCTAAAGGATCCCTCTGGCCACAGAGTAAGAACTTGGCTGGAGGAAACCAGGGAGGAACCAAGGAAACCCCATCTCTGATCCTGTCTCCCTGCTACAGATCCCACCTGATGAGGACCCTCAGGGAGTGACGTGTGCCCAGGTGAAGCACTCAGAACCCAGGAGGAGTGGGGACTTCCCTCCTTCACTCAAGGATAGACATTCAGGGGAAGACAGGCAGATGGATGCTCAGGTGGGGTCTGTGCTCCCCAGGCCCTAGATTTCCCTCACATCAAGCACAAGTCACTCCTGTCCTCCTCTCCCCTGCAGGATGCTGCCAGTGAGAGTCCACAGGAAGTGGCCTATGCCCAAGTGGGCAGCTGGATGCTGGGACAGGGGACAGCTGTGCCTCCTTCCTCCCAGGACGTGGCCCTCCCAGCAGAGTGCAGTGTATAAGCTGCTTATTAGGGACACCTAAAAGAGACCTCCAGATATTCTGGAACCCTCTGAGACTCGCCTAATTCTAGTCAGAGAGAGCTCACATCTCTGTGTGCTGGAAATAAAAGTCAGAGATTCTTCCATAACCACTGAGTGAACTGCGAAACAAAACCCCAGGAAAGAATGCTTGAAATGAGTGATGATGTTAATGACAGCATGATACAACATGAGTAGGAAACAAGATGAAGAACCATAGGCAAATATATTAGAAAACACTCTGCACAAATCATCACTTCAAAAAGTTAGAAAAATATACAATATAATTCTAAGTAATTCAATGAAAAACTAATATTAGCTACAAATGAGAACTTAAGAGTGGACACACATTTCAACATCAGAAAATAGCTGCTATCAAGACAGAGTCCATCTGTTTTATAGGAGTAATATCAGGATGTTAGGAATAATTTTTGCCAACAGGTCAAAAAGATATAGGTGGAACTGACCAAATTTACTAAGTGGAGATAAAGAGAAATCTGAATCATACCATGGGCGTTGAGCGCTTGGATCTTGTAACTAAAACACTTTGCCATGCAAATTATAGTTTAATTATCTTTGCTGGTGAGCCCTTTCGCATTCAAGAAACACAAATCTCAAGCTTCCACAGATAGTTATTGCAAACAGACAGAGAAAAGACAGCCCAAGATACTTTATGAGACAAGAAAAGTTACTATAGTAAAACTTGACAAGGAAACTACAAAATGCGAAAGCCACCTGCACAACTCTCACATCAGCCTAGATTTGAGCCCCACAAATAGCCCTTCAGTGAACCGTGGTGAGCCTTGCCTGTCAGCTCAGCCACCCGGGAGCCTGAGGCTGGAGGGTTCAAAGCTGAAGCCCAGCCTGGGCAACTCAGCGAGACCCTGTTAGAAAATAAATCAGGAAGGGTTGGGGATGTAACTTAGTGCTCTCTGCGTTCAATCCAAGGTCACCCGTCAAAAAAAGAATTTCCAGTGATGCATTTAAAACATAAAACATTGTGATAACATTTGTGGGGGGTTTGCTTTTGTTTTTAGTTTGAAAGGCAAAAGTAGCTTAAAATTTAAAAGTACCAAATGAGATGCATTAACACTGCTCACAAAATTATCAACAGATGCAGAGAAGCCTTTCATAAATCATCCATAGTAAAAATAAAAACCCATCACAGGAAAGGAGAGTTTTCCACCTTTTCCTGCTCTTCCGGGTGAGTCCCTGAAGTCCACCCCACAGGTGGGAGCAGCCCACATGCTCCCTGCCTGGGCTTCTCTTCAGCACAGCCAGGCACACAGCTGGGCTGGGGAGCAGGGATGCGGTGAGCATCACACTGCATCACTCACAGCGAGACGATTGCCTGAATGTGACGTAACATGACACAAAGTCCCTTCACTCAGATCAAAATGGCATTTTCAATGTCCCTGGGGTACTAAGCCAACATGCCAGGGTCAACTCCACATCAGACTTCTAGCTCTGTCCCAGGATGAAGAGGAAGGAGGTCTCCCCACTCCTTTACTTTACCCAACAAGACTGATTTGGACGTGTGACCTCTCAAGCTGTAAGGTAACACATTTGCATCGATTTCACTATGGAGTCTGTGGTAATTTATTATAGCAACCAATAAGAAATGCATACAGCCACATACGTTAGTGCTGATATTAGTATTATATGGCGCTTTCTGTTGATACCCAGAATGTGTAACTAGGGGATGTCTTTGTCTGGCTGTTCCCTCCCCAGTCTTAGAAGGATCCTGAGTGAATGAGCAGCCCCACGCACCCGTTCAGGGGCTTCCTTCTGACCTGGCTTCATGGGGGCTGCAGACACAGCAATGAGCACAGACCCCTCCCACCCTGAGTCACCTGGAGGTCTGTGTGTGTCTTGCCCAGAGACCTCAGAGGAAAGTGGACAACTCCTCCCAGCTCTCATGGTGGGGAGACCCACAGAACCCTGACACCCTGGGGCAAGATCCCATCTGCTAAGGTCACTCTGACCATTGTAAACCATGCTATAGACACAAGCATGCACTTCAGGGAAGGAAACACAGGTTCCCTACTAACCTGCCCCCTATTGTCTGAGTGTGCTGTGTTCCTTATCTCACCAGCCTGCTATGATCACTGCCCCATGACTCCTTGAACCACCACCACCCCTCCCTTATGCCTATGCTTGCCAAATAAAAGGAGGCCACTGAGAGGTCTTGTTTTTGACTATCCTGAGGCACTAACCTCCTGTGCCCTTCATGTTTTAAAAGTTGTCCTTTTCTTGATCATTTGTTCTACCCGCAAAGCGGGCAACTGAGATCTGGTCAGTGCCTGGAAGCTGGCACTGGGGACAGAGACTCTGAGGACTGAGGGGAGAATCCACCAGAGTGACACAGAAATGTAACAGAGAAAGAGAAACTAAGCATCTGGCACTGTGGGGAAAAAAATCTAGAAAATGGGGCAAAATTTGTCAGTAGACTAATAAAGATATGTGCAACTATTGCATATGTTATCAATTCAGGTCAGAACTCAGATCACCTTCCACAAATCAGCAAACATGGTTCAGGAAATCACCGAACATAACCCACGGTTTCCACAGGCAGAAACTTGGATGTTGAAAATCAGGATGAGGTGGGTGAAACCTTAAAGAAGGCTCATGCTTTCAGGAAGAACAAATCCAGCAGTTTTTCAGTGTGGAGCTTAGATCACTTTTGGGTCCACTATGTACCAGCACATCAGGTGCTTCCACTCCTGTCACAGAGAAAGGGAAGCACTCAGAAATGATTGTGTGATGGCCATGGATCCTTCTTTACCAGAGGAGGACACAGAGGCTGAGGCACAAAGAAGAGCGACCCCTTGGCCTGCACCCTGATAATCTCAGCATGGTCCTTTGTTGTCCAGGTACCAACAGCTCATACAGGAGACTGCTATGATGAGAGGTCTTGACGGGGCCATGCTGCCTTCCTGGTATAACCAGACCTGACCCTAATAACCAACCACAAATGATGTAAGAGCACCGAGGAGTTGAATATAAAATTCTTAAGCAGTTCAAGAAGAACCCTATGAAAAATGGAGTTCAGGGATCATTCACACTGGGACCTTCGGATTCAGTTTTGGGAGCTTTACATCTGGTGCCAGTGGATATCAGATACCTTGCTCCCTCCTGGTTATCAGCTGCTCAATCTCTTTATCTCAGTGTTGAGTTACAGAAGCTTGTGGCTAAGCGAGCTGCTAAGAAAAGACCAGTAAATAGAGCAAATATCACTGAGGAAATGTGATTGAGAACAGCCTTTTGAAGACCTTGCACAGCAGTTAGCTTATCCTAAGGAATTAGGAGCAAATTAGCCTGATAATGAAAAGATCCTGGAGTTCTGTTCCTGTGGATGGGATGTCCTTTTTACATATTTTACAAGGCTCCAACAAGCCATATACTCAAATTACTGTCAGATTGCAGGAGACAGTTCATAGACAGATCCTCCATGCACAGGAAGCAAATATCATTGCAGTTCAGCTTGCTTTTGAAAATGCCAAATAAGACCATAAACAGGTCTTGGAACTGGTCAGGGCCATGAAAAGTTTGAGAAATTATTTAAAAGACTGTCAGCATACAAGCACTGAGTCCTACAAGAGCTCAATGGTATGACACACCATGTGAAGCCTTACAAAAGGGATGAAAGGTACTAATGTTACATATTTGAATTCTGGAAAAATGAGACACCTCTGAAAACAATTCACTGCTCCCACAGGATGGGAAAACTCATACCTGCTGGTGAGGGATGCAGTGATCCTCCCAAGCAGAATACAGAGCCAGCTCCCAGTCTGTGTGCCCACTGTGGAAAGGAGAACCATTGGTCAAGACATTACCATTCTAAGTAGCATAAGGATGGCAACTCTTTCAATCAGGCTTAGGACTGATAAAAAATCTATATATCACTCCTGAGCTCTTGGAAGTCGCTCCTCAGTTGGATCATTCATGAATAGGTTATCAACCCCCTTTCTAGTAGGGGCCTCAGACTATTAAAATAAGACAAGATCAGTCGTAAACTTTAAATGATTTCCAAGAATTCTGGAGAGATGTTTATTAGATCCACCCTAACTTAGGTATTGTTACTTACCAATTAAAACATCTTTATAATACCTTGCAAGACCCTCAAATTAACTCCATGACAGTTAATTTCAAAAGAAGAGAGGAAATAGCTATTGATTTTAAAAAGTTATTGCAAGAAAGACAAGTCTGCAATGTTAATAACTACTATTTCCTCATTTTCTATGCTTGAAATTGCCCTTACTCTCTCACAGGGATTTTGGGACAATTCTACAATTCTCATTTGTCCTCTGTTGAGTGGCTTTATTTACCAACCACTTGGTGAAAACTTTACCATTATATACAAACCAATTGCTACAATTGTAGTAGATGGAAGAACTCATTCTAATCAGTAGTTTGGTGGTGATCCATCAGTAATAATATTGGATTTGGGGCCATGGAGGGATTCAGGCAGCTTATTCACCCATCCTCTTGGTAAGCTTCTGCAACGTGGGCCAGGAGAAGAACAGAGTTCCAGAGTTCCTGCCATGGAGGGATTCAGGCAGCTTATTCACCCGTCCTCTTGGTAAGCTTCTGCAACGTGGGCCAGGAGAAGAACAGAGTTCCAGAGTTCCTGCCATGGAGGGATTCAGGCAGCTTATTCACCTGCCCTCTTGGTAAGCGTCTGCAACTCGGGCCAGGAGGAGAACAGAGCTCCAGAGTTCTGGCCATGGAGGGACTCAGGCAGCTTATTCACCTGCCCTCTTGATAAGCACCTGCAGCTTGGGCCTGGAGGAGAACCATTACCTGTGAGCCAACTTCCACGAGAGCTGAAAATCAAGCACCCTTCTCCCACCTGCCCCCTCTCCCCTTACCTACTGGGGATAGATATTTCAACATCTCTTGGGAAGATGACCATATGCAGTATAGCAAATATGGGGGATTTCCTTCTCTCTTCTGTTTAAAGGCATAGATTGTTTTCACTTTTTGTTATGTTTCTTTTGCTCTATTCAGTATTCTCAATTGGTTTTACAATGTTCTATTTGATTTTACAATACATAATTGACTGGATAGCTATTGTTAAATTAAAGAGATATACCGTAGTACTTAGTACTACTATCCCAGTATCCTACTGTGAAATCCTGTACCAATTTCACTGCATTGTCTCAATTGGCTTTGTTCTGTCTTGTGCTGTTGCATATTTGCTACTTTCAAAATTAAAAAATACATGTTAAAACCCATTCATGTGTAGAATCTATAAACAGTTTATGAGAACTGATCTTATGACAATTGATGAAATGAACAGATACTTTGAAGAAAAGAAGACACTAAAATACCCAGTGCTGATCCTGGAGTGTCATAATGTGAAACCCAGAAATAGTGTTATTCTTTGTTCAGAGTGATATTAGCCTGCTTGGGTTTATTGAAAGTCAACGTAATTGAAGATATGGGTAACTGCATATATGTTTAAGTG